AAAAAAAAAAAAAAAAAAATGTTAGTTTACGGGCCAGTGTCGGAGTCACCTCATTCTTTCAGCTGCTGGCGATGCAGCTACCTCTGAGCAAGAAATGCTTTCACTTCACCTCCAGTACATACCCTTATCAAACAGTCTGTCAATTTTTTTTTTTTTTAAACTGGGGATTGAACTCAAAACCTACTGCTTGCCAGGAAGGCATTTATGCCGCTGAGCTATCTCCCCAGCCCACCGTCTGGATTTTTATGCTGCTTTGGTAATTTTGGATTTGTGTGGTGGTCTCTTGACTAAGGAGGTCAGTATTAAGGTATTTTAAGTGTTCCCTAACACACATCGACAGCTAAAGTTAAGAATTAAAAAAAAAAAAAAAATTCAGAGGTGTTTCTCTTTGAAATGGCAAAGACTTTCATCTCTTAACTGCCTTCAAGACCTCTTTATGGCCAGAACCTCTCTCTCCATGTACACTGCCACTTGCCACCTCATTGTCTTCACTTGTATCTAGATAGAGCTGTGCCAGGAAAGCCACCAGTATCCCATCAATAGAACTCTTCGGGCTGCCTCTCTGCTCATTCGGACTCTGGCTGTTTCTAGTTTCTGACTAGGATGGGCACTGATGTAGGAATCTGGAAATTTTCTGATGACCTGTTCAAGGGTTCTGTTGGCTTTTCTCCTTTCATTGCATAGAGCATAGGTAATATGCTTTATCACCTGTAACCTGCTTATGAGACGTTTGTTAGGAGATTTATTTGTTTGAATTTTGGTTCTGCTGTTTACTGGCTGGGCAAGGCAAGTGAACTTGCCCCATTCTCCCTGTTTCCTCATCTGTACTGACCTTATAAGGTTGTTTTGTGTGTGTGTGTGTGTGGCCAGCTCAGCCCACCAGGGGGCGGGGCTGGCTGGCATATGGTGCTAGGGGATTGAACCGCAGTCCCTGTGCTTTGCTAAGCTTGCTCCAAGTAGGTACTTTAGACCACTGAGCCAACATGGAATTGATGGTGTACTGTGTTTGAGTTATGCAAATATTCTCCTGGGTATTATGAAACGCCATAATATTTTATTGCATACCAGATATTGATATTTCATCTTTGTTTTTCCACAGTGATTTCCTAACACAACCATTTTTGACTTTCCAAGAAAAGTTACTATGGCATTCCCTCATTTACAACAGCCTAGCTCCCTACTGGTAAGTAATCAATTGCCTTTGAAGTGTCAGTGGCACTAGTGTAGCTGAAGGACTTAATGATTCTTTCCACTGATTCAGAGAACTCTGTAGTGGTTGTTTTTTATGGGAATGTGATAGAAATAACACAAGATTCATAATTAGAATGATTAAGCATGAATTTGCCTTCCTATTAGTGTAGGACTGTGGGTTTATTCAACCTCTGAGCTCTAGTTTTCTCATCTACAGAATTAGTTAATTCAAATGCCATTTTTCTACTTCCCAGAGTAGGGGGAGAAGTATATGGGAAAATATACATCAGAATGTTTATGAGGCCCGGGGAGATAGCTCAGTGGTGTAAGCATCTGCCTGGGAAGAACAAGATCCTGAGTTCAATCTCTGCTACAAAAAAAAAAAAAAAAAAAAAAAAGTCTCAGAATGTTCATGATCCACAGATCTTTCTACACATGTAAAGTGTTCTAATAACTGTCATTGATGAAAAGTGGAGGGGGACTCCTGTGCTGGGGGCAACTGGGATAGCATTTTAAGTAAACATGGGGGCTGGCAGATTAGCTCAGTTGTCTAAAGCTCCTTCTTGAGCAAAATTAGTCAGGGACAAGGGACTGCGATTCAATCCCGCACCACATGCTGCACCAGACCCACCCTTCAGGCAGCGTGAGCCAGCCAAAAAAAAAAGGAATCCTTCTCAAGTAGTAAACATGATGCTGTGAAATTAGGTTATGGGGGAGGTAGTGGTGATGAGGATTTCTAGTTGTAATTCTCTGGGTTGCTTTTTGTAAACATTTATCAGGAAGGACATTTGTCCTTTGTATACACCACTGGAACCAACATCTGATCCATTGTTTAAACAGCTTAGGTCTCCATCTCTGACTCAGATCCTGTAATACCCACCTGTATTTGGAGGTGGACAAGGCATTAGACATTCTTGGGAAAGGCCTCTTGTTAAAATTGGAGCCTTTCCACCTGATCTTAACTTGTTTACACAGAACTCTCTTCTCGATGTAGTCAGGATGCTTTTTCTATATCCCATGACTTTGGGTAGATTTCTTCAATTCTTTAAGTAAATGTTTGCTGTTCTCTCTGCTACCCTCATGATTAGTGTTGACTTGGATGAGGCCATTTATAGTTTCAGGCTACCTTTTTTCTGCAGTACCAAAGATTGAACACAGGACCTTGCACTTGCCAGGCAGGCACTTATTCTACTGAGCTATCTCCCCAGCCCAAGCTACCTTTTTTTTTTTTTTGGCGGTACTTGGGATTGAACTCAGGATCTTGCATACCTTATTTTTTAAGGCTGTCTTCCTGCTTCCCCTTCCCTTTCCTCCTTTCTCCTCCCCTCCTTTTGACTGATTAAGAGAAAAAGAATGCTTCTGCTATAATCTTTGATTTGTTGGGCATTCTCACTAATGATTGTTGTAGTGTAATCATAGCTGGTGAGGTGGAAAGTTCTGATTCATTTGTACAGACTGAGAGAGTACTCATAGGATGTGAGGGGTAACCTACACAGAAGGAGTTCTCTGCTGGTGGTGGAGCTGACCCTGGCACTGAATCTTTGCTTATGGGTTAGTGGAGGTTTGTTTTATTATGATATTACACAGTGCTCTCATTGCCTGAGGACAGTGCTGAGAAGCAAGTCTGAGAAGGACTAGTCTAGAAGGGTAGACCTGTAACTTCTCCCTTTTAGTAGCATCCTTGGGGCTGGACACATGTAGAACATGATGAATGAGGTGCTGGGGAACTAGATCGGTGTTTTGACTTGAGCATAATGCCTGCAAAAGCTATAGAACAAATATGTGTTTGTGATTTTTTTTTCACTTTATTTCCTAGGCCGACTCTATAAATAAACCCTTTGCACAGAGGTGCCAAGACTTGGTAAAAGTCATTGAGGATTTTCCAGCAAAGGTACAACATCTTGGGGCATGCCATGTGCACACTTAATGTACATACCTCTAGTGGACAAAGGACAGGGAGTAATGCACAAGATAATACCTTGCATCACAAAAAAGTATCTAGCCCAAAATGTCAACAGTGCCAATGTAGAGAAGCCCTTAGGAAAATATTTTTTAAATGAGTATTTAATTTACAACTACATTTGTCAAGCCCAGGAAGTTGGCCTACATAATGGATTCATACCACATGACAATAAGTCATAGTTTTGTTTAGGGACTTGACTGAGAATGAACAATGTTGACTTTTTTTTTTTTGTGTGCAGTTCAAGTGGGCCTTGAGCTCACTTTGTAGCCCAGGCTGGTCTCAAACTCACAGTAATACTGCCTCAGCTTCCTGAGTACTGGGATTATGGTCATGTGACACTAGGCCTGGCATGAAAGTTTTTTCTTTCTTTTTTTTTACTGTTTGTTGAGCTTTTTTTTTTTTTTTCCCGCGGAACCAGGGATTTAACTTAGGCGCTTGCACTTACCAGGGAAGCGCTTATTCCACTGAGCCATCTCCCCAGCCCCTTGTTGAGCTTTTTAATAGCTCTATTTAGATCAGAAGTTTATATTTTATTTGTTTGGTTGGTTGTTTTGTTTTGGAGACAGGGTCTTGCTATATAGCCCAGACTATCCTTAAACTCATGGAAATCCTCCAAAGGACTTTGTCTCAGCCTCCAAATTCTGGGATTATAGGCATATCTCATTGTGCCTGGCTAATTTTTCAACTACATTTTAAGTCAGAGGCTGGCTTCTTTAACCAACTCAAATGTAAAGTGGTGCTGCTTGGTCTGCCCTGTTTGTCTAGTGGAAGAATTCAAAATGCTTTTCAACACTACATCAGCATATAGGACTTGAGTGGTCCTGTAGGTCTCTATCTGGGAGTGACCTTTTCAGAGAAGTGGTGGGCTGTACATTGTGTGGAACAGGAGCTGGTGTGGGAGTGGGCACTGGTCCTGACACGTCTGCCCCCATCCTCCTTACATTGTTTCAGGAGCTGCACAGCATCTTCCCGTTGCTGGTAGAGAGCATCTTCGGCAGTTTGGATGGTGTCCTCGTTGGCTGGAACCTCCGGTGCCTACAGGGCCGTGTGAACCCGGTGGAGTACAGCATTGTAATGGAATTCTTAGATCCTGGGTAGGTAGGTTTTCTGCCTGTGAAGGGCTAGGTACTTCCTTGTAGTAATATTGTTTTTTAAATCACTGTACTTATTAAATTAAGAAATCAGAGCAAGATGGTTTGTAGTTCATTTGTGCTATTTTTAATTTTATGTGCAGTGGCCCAATGATGAAGTTGGTGTATAAACTTCAAGCTGAAGACTATAAGTTTGATTTTCCTGTCTCTTACTTACCTGTAAGTACATTGGTGATGAGAGTGGTCTTTGAGGCTACAGGTCTGAAAAAGTGGCTAAGGTAGTAAGCAGGCAGGGAGGGACTTAAAGAGTTGGTGACCCTAAGCAGGAGGCAAGACCCAGAAGGCATCACAAATTATAACTTGAAGTAGCAGCTTTTCAAAAGATCATTAAATGGTGGCACATGCCTGTAATCCCAGCACTTTGGAGGCTGCGGCAGGAGGATTGTTGTTAGTTCGAGACCAGCCTGGGCTAAAAAGTGAGCTCAAGGCCAGCCTGAACAACATAGCAAGACCCTGTCTCAAGAAGACACACACACACAAAAGATCACTTACAGACTCTGCCAGTAGAGAAGGCACTGTGCTTTGCTGCTGATTGAGTGGCAGGCAGGGTGATGTGACCAATTCCTTTCCTCTTCTGAATCTCCAGTCTTTCAGGGTCAGATTGAGGAGTAACTTGCTCAGTGGTTATGAGAGGCAAAGGAGATGGGGCTCAGAAGCACACTCCACTGTTCTCCTTCCTATTTGGGTTTTTGTGAGGATGACAAAAATTCCAAGTAAAAGAGCCAGGTGTGGTGGCACATGTCTATAATCCCAGCAATCAAGAGGCTGAGGCAGGAAGTTTGCATGAGTTCAAGACCTGCCTGGGCTACATAGTGAGTTCAAGGTCAGCCTGAACTGCCGATCGAGACCCTGTCTCAAAAAAAAAAAACCCAACAAAAAAGTCTGAGCAAAGCCTGTTACCCAAATGCCAGAGGAAGGGCACTATCTCTACAGTTAGGTTCTATATGCTTGCCTCTTCCTCAGCAGCCTTCCCAAAGAGTTGCACTGCCTAGGAGGCACCATGCAGGTCCCTGCCCACAAGCCTACCTTATCTCCACAGGGCCCTGTGAAGGCATCCATCCAGGAGCACATCCTCCCTGACAGCCCTCTGTACCACAATAAGGTCCAGTTTCCCCCCACTGGGGGCCTTGGCCTGAACTTGGCCCTCAGTATCCTTTGGTAGCCTGCAGGGTTGCGGGGAGGCTTTTCTGGTCAGCATGTCATTGGAAGGTGGCCCACCAACCCTGTGTTTACTCCTTGACCCTGCTGACAGATCCATTTGAATATTACATATTCTTCTTTGCCTTGAGCCTCATCACTCAGAAGGTACAGAAAGCATGCTTCTGAGGGTAGCTTGCTTTATCACATCCTGCTGTGAAGGGATGGGGCTTGACCTGGAGTGTACCTGTCTTACTCGTGCCTGGAGGAGGACAAGGTGGTGCCCAGAGCCCACACTAATTATGAGTTTGGTTTTCCAGCCACTGCCCGTGTCCCTCCGTATCCGTACTTCAGATTGTGCCTATTTCACCCTGGTGGACAGATACCTGTCATGGTTTCTGCCCACCGAAGGCAGTGTGCCCCCTCCACTCTCCTCCAGTCCTGGTGGGACAAGCCCATCACCAGCTCCCAGGTAAGGCTGCCTTGGTCATTAAGACATGGCCCTTTTATAAGGGAGTTGCCTGGTCATGGGCGTCATCCATGCGTACAATGGTACCACCCTTTTTCCAAGATTCCATAATTTTTCTTATGCCTCATTCCTAACACCAGTGTCCTAGTGCAGCCAGAAGATCATCTTGTGTTTTATTAGAGTCTGCTGGTATCTGGCCATCACTGACACATCAGGTCTCTCTGGCTTTATTGATAACACACACAACAGACTTATGTTCTACTTGTAGCAGTCCTCACTGTGGCCAATATCTAAGACCCACTGAATCAGTGAGCAGGATAGGAGGGTGGAAGGATTGTCCTGTGTTAGCTAGTGGAGGGAGCCTTTGTACTAGGCCATACAGGCTAAGCCTGACACTGGCACCTCAGTCTGAGGGTGTATTGGGAGCTCTCTGGCTGGCTCTGTGAGGCTTTGGTGGGCCTTTTGTCTGGAGTTTCTTGGCCAACTCTCCTGGAACACCCCCAGCCTTGGCTTTTCTGTCCTTCCCTCTCTTCCCTGGACTGCTCCTTTTCTGGGAGGCTGCAGATGCTGGTCCAGCCTGTGTTGAAATGTGCACATTGTGTGGTGCCTTCATCCACACTCATGTGGTCTAGTGCCCTCAAAGAGTGGAGAGGCAGGTCTAGGAGGGCGGAGGGGCTGATAGGTGGTAACAGTGGCTAGTGACCCTGACATGGTGGTGATAGTGCATCTAGGGTGGATGGTGATAGGGTTTATTCATGCCCTTTACAAGGCTATTCATGCCCTCTACAAGGCAGCACCCAGCAACTTTCTAGGCCTGGTTTTCTCACTTGTTTTAACTTTTCATTTTGAAGTAACTTCAGACTTTTAGGAAAGATAAAGGCATAACATGAAAAACTTTCGTAGTCCTTTGACCCAGACTACTGGAATGTTAACACTTTGCTATGTCCCTTATCATCTCATCCACTTATCAGTACAGCATTTTACTGCCCCTTCTGAGGACAAGTAGGAGGGGCTGTTTAAACAATTTATAGATGTGCCATCTCAAGACCTCTGCATTCCAGAATGTGTTTCCTAGAGGCAGCACATTCTCCTCCATGATCTTGGTACTTCCATCCATACCAGGAAGTTAGTACTGCTACCGGGCCATCTCCTAATCCTCTCAGGCCTATAGAGCTCTTTTCGTTCTGTCCTACTCACATCTATTATCTGGTGGGGTCTGGCTTACTCACTGTGTGCAGTGGTCTCTCTGGTGCCCTTCAGTCCTTCATTCTTTCCCAGCCTTGACCCTTTAAGTGCACAGGTTGACTGTAGATGCTCTTTTATGTGGGCTTTCTGGTATTTGTCTGCTCATAACTAGGCCCAGCTTGGGCTCTGTAGATAAGAACAATGCAGTGGTCACACCAGGTCCTGAACACCCAGTCAGGAGACCTGTGCTATCCCTTTGTCCTATTACTGATGATATAAGATCAGTCTCTGGGCCAAGAGTGTCACTCAGGTTTTTCTGCTATGAAGTTAAATTTGTACTTTGCCTAAATTAATACTGATGATTTAGTAGAAAGATATATTGGAAGTATGTAATTGCCAGTCATGTTAGCATCCACTGTTAATTCTTGGCCATATCAGTTATTAATAGAGTAATTACCGGGGCTTGTGAGATGGCTCAGTGGTCTAAAGCACCTACTTAGAACAAGCTTAGCAGAGCACAGGGACCATGGTTCAATCCCCCAGCACCACATGCCAGCCAGCCCTGCCCCCTGGTGGGCTGAGCTGGCCACACACACACACATAAATAAAAATAAAAATAAAAATAATTAAAAAAAAAAATAGAGTAATTACCAAATGTTTTTAACAGCATAGCATTCATCTTTCCTCATTTGTTAAGTGGTAAAGAAGACTTTTCCCTATTTATTTATTCAAATATGTTGGTGTGGACCTGGGTGTCATTGTATGATTCAACATGTTGTGCTTGGTTACCCACATCATTATATTGGTGTACAGCAGAGTCCCTAACTGAGGCTTCTTCTTATGTCACTATCAGGACTCCAGCCATGCCCTTTGCATCCTATGGCCTTCACCATACCAGCCTCCTGAAGCGACATATCTCTCATCAGACATCTGTGAATGCAGATCCCACCTCTCAGGAGATCTGGAGGTCAGAAACTCTTCTCCAGGTGAGCAAATGAGGGTGGTCTCTGCCTCCATTTCAAAACAAGCTATTGATGGAGAGGGAAGTGAAGAAAGGGAAGTAAAAAGAATTAAAATGTGTTATACACAGGTGCCAACTTCCACAATGAATGTGATGGTTATGCCCTGCAAACATATGATAATAAAAATTAAAAAAAAAATTTTTTTTAACCCCCAAATGTTCAGTCATCTTCTACCATGTAGTGTGGAGCCCTGAAGCATGAGGTTGGTTCTCAAATCCCATCAGCCTGAGAATGTTTTTAATTGTTGGTAAAATAGACAAGAAATTTATGGGGCCAGGGAGATGGCTCAGTAGAATAAGTTCCTCCCTGGCAAGTGCAAGGGCCTGAGTTCAATCCCCAGTTTCCCCCAAAAAAAAAAAGAATTAAAAATAGAAATTTATGTGTGCACTCCCCCCCCACCCCAACCCAGAGCATCAGGTCCACTAAGTAGTGCACTGTCAGTAAGGGTCTTGGCTGGCCTACTCCCTTAGCAGTCTTGCCCCTCTGTGTACTACAGCAAATTAGTAAGTTCTGGTGTAGATTCAGGGGCTGACTTGGTAGGTACAACATTGCTCTTTTGTTGTTGGTTTTTTTGAGACCGAGTCCCACTATGCAATTCATAGTACCCTTGAACTCACTATGTAGCCTAGGCTGACCTCAAACTTGCAGCTGTCCTCCTTCCTCAGCCTCCCAAGTGCTGGGATGACAGGTGTATGCCACTGTGCCTGGCCTAAAGCATTGTTTTTTATTTTTTATTTTTATTAATTTAGGACAGTGTCTACAGGGTCTCACTACATAGCTCGAACTTGTAGTGATTCCCATGTTTTCAGCCTACCGAGCACTGGGATTACAGGCGCATGCCACCATATCCAGTCTCAATTGCCATCTCAGCATACCCTAGGGGGTGGGGCTGGCATGGCAGGCCTGGGGATTGAACCCCCAGCCCCTCCACCTACTTGCAGGCTGTTTCTTTTCTTTTTTCTTTTTTAATGATTTTGTTGAGGAAGAAGCAGCAATGAGATAGTTTCACAACAGGTTAGTAGTACAGTTACAATAATTAATACATTGGGGGCTGGGGAGATGGCTCAGTGGAATAAGCGCTTCCCTGGCAAGCTCAAGGGCTTGAGTTCAATCCCTGGTTCTGCAAAAAAAAAAAAAAAATCAATACATTGCATATTGTTGTCTTTGTAGTAATTGTTCCTAGTACAAGATGCAGACATGATATCTTGTATAAATACTATTAGTTCAAAACTGTCTTCTCATTGAACTAAAAGAAAGTAGCTGTATATTTATACTATTTTGCATATGCAGTTTATATATATATATTTTTTTTTCCCACTACAAAGTGGTCCAGTTATATCCCCTTTTTTGTTTACTTTTGTCAGAGATGTGTATTCCATTGTCATTCATATATTGTAGGTGCATGAATTCAGCAGAGTAATCTAATATAGTCAAGTAGTTTATAATAGTAGTGGGTTATCTGCAAGACAAGCAGTGTCAGAAGTTGTTGACTTGAGCCTTTTACAGCTCAGCATATTAATATGGCTTTACTTTTTATACCTCAATTTTATACTTTTCTACTGGATGGTTAAGACCAAGATAAAACAAGACCTATATAACAAAAAATGTAACTTTTGTATTTGACGAGGTCAGTTAAATCCCTTGCAGGCTGTTTCTTAAGAATTTGACCACTCTAGCTACTTCATGTCTGGTGTATTGATCTAGGTTGCACAACTTTTGTCTTTTGTGATTGGCTTATTTTGTTTAGCATAAGGTCCTCAGGATTCATCACGTTATAGCAGGTATCAGAATTTCTCTCCCTTTTTATGGCTACATAATATCCCACTATATGGATGTACACATTCTGCTTGACCATTCATCTGTCAGTAGACACCTGCATTGCTTCCACATGTAGGTCTTGGAAATAAGGCTGTCAGGGCCAGGAGTGTGTAAATATTTCCAGCCCTGGCTTTGAGAACTTTTGGACATATACCGAGGAATGGAATTGCTGGATCACATGGTGATTCCGTTTTTGTTTTGTCTTGGACATGGCAGCAGGTATTCTACCATTGAACTATATGCCTAGTTCTTTCTATTGTATTTTGAGACAGCTGCTCTACTAATTTGCCCAGGCTGGCTTTGAATTTACACAGCCTGCCATGTTTAATATTTTTTTTCCCCTTGCACTATTGGGGATTGAACCCAGGGCTTTTGCTACATCCCTAACCCATTTTTTATTTTGAGATAGTCTGTAAGTTACAGAGGCTGGCTTGCTGGGTTTTTTGTTTTGTTTTGCTTTTTTGTTTTGCTACTGTTGTGTTTTGTTTTGTGACAGGCTTTTGTGGTTCAGACTGGCCTTGAACTCACTGTGTGGCTCAGGTTGGCCTTGAACTTGCAGTGATCCTCCTGCGTCTGCCTTAACTGAGTACTGAGGTTGCACAATGCTGGCTGTGTGTTTAATTTTTTTGTTGTTTGGAAGTACCACCCTATAGCTTTTGACAGTTTCAATACCATTTTTTATTTCCATCAGAAAGGCCCAGGGTTTTAGTTTCTTCATATTCATACTATGCCTTGCTTTTTTATTTTTTAATGTGTTTGCTACAAGGTCACTACACAGCTCAGACTCTATGATCCTCCTGTTTCAGCCTGCCCAGTGCTGGGATTACAGATGTGTGCCACCACGCCCAGTCTTGGTGGCTGGCTTGGTGTGCCCGGGGTGGTGTCAGCATGTGTGCCTTGCTTTTTTGATAATAGCTACTTCAAGAGCTATAGAGTGGTATCTCCTTGTTTTGGTTTGCATTTTCCTAGTGGTGAGTAATGTTCAGCCTCATTTCATGGGCTTAATTGTTCATTTGTATGCCTTTAGAGAATGAGACAAGGTCTTACTTTATAGGTCAGGCTGGTGTTGAACTCATTATGACCTGGTCTTAAACTCACAGTATTCCAGACTGGCCTGGAACTCACAGTGATCCTCCTGCTTTCGCCTCCCAAGTGCTGGGGTTACAGATGTGTGCCGCCATGCCCAGCTCCTCTGCACATTTTTTATACTTGCAGATTGTCTGCCTTTTTTTTTTTTTTTTAGTTTTAGATATTGTCTAGATAGTCTGAATAAATTCCTTACCAGATATGTGATTTGCAAGTATTTTTTTCCCATTCTGTGGGCTGTATTTTTACTCTGTCAATAGAGTTGGCATGGTAGTGTTTGCCTGGAATCCCAGCAGTCTGGGAGATGGAGGCACAATTTAAGCTTCAAGCCCAGCCCAGGCAAGTGAGCAAGTTAGTGAGACACTGTGTCAAAATAAAAATTTTTTAAATGAGTTGGGGGTGTAGCTCAGTGTGAAGGCCCTAGACTCAATCCTAGTACAGTCAGCAAAAAGAGAAAGAAGGTCTTTTGATGACATTTCATTGTTTCTTTCATTGCGTGTGCTTTGGTGTCATGTCAAAGAAGTTGTTGCTATGTGTGATGTAGTAAAGCCTTCCCTTATGTTTTCTTCTAAGTTTCATGGTTTTAATTTACATTTAGATTGCTGATCCACCTTGAGTTTTATTTTGTTTTGATTTTTTTTTTTTTTTTTTTTTAATGTATTTAGTTCAGGGTCTACAAGGTCTCACTACACAGATCAGACTTGTAGTGATTCTCCTGTTTTCAGCCTCCCAAGCACTGGGATTACAGGCATGCGCCACCACATCCAGTCTTTGTTTTGATTTCTTGATAGCCTCTTGCTATATAATCCAGGTTAGCCTTGAACTCACTACATAGCCCAAGCTGGCCCTGGACTCTTGGTGGTGCTGTCTTTTCAGTCTTAAGTACTGGGATTACAGGGATATGCCACCACCCCCAACTGAGTCAACTTTTTTATATGGTGCAAGATAAGGTTCCAACTTCATTCTTTTGTGTATTGATCCACGATTTTCCTTGCACTACTTGTTGGAGAGACTCCTTTCCTTATGGACAGGTCTTGGCATTATTGTTAAACCTTTCGATCAGCTAATGCTCTTTTTTAGGTTTTTGTTGAAATGTGGCTTCACCATTATTCCTTGGAGATGTACCAGAAAATGCAGTCCCCTCATGCTAAGGTATGTTTCCAGTTTCTTCCTGTTTTCCTCCCTCTGGCTCTGACCAGCTTTCTATTTCTTATTCTCAGTCTTAAGTTACTTGTTACAACCTGGATGGTGGGAAGCAGAACCCACCATCCACCCCTTATTCAGATTGCTAACACAGGTAGGTATTGTTCTGCAGTGTAAGAGTCTTATATTACTATGGGTGGGGTTAGGGCTTTGGAGGTGTGTCCTTTCTTGGTCTTCCCTGTGAATCTTTCAGGGTTACCTCTGTGGCAGGGAACAGCTGAGATTCTGGTGCTCTTGCTGGGGGCGGGGGCAAGTTAGGGCTGCTGATGCCTCTGGGAGTCATTTCCCAGTTTTTCCATTGCCATCAGCAATATTTTTGTTCTCTCAAGAGAGGTGGTGACACTGGCTAGATACCTGCCACTGTGGTGAACTTGAATATCCTTTGCCTGCCCATGTTGTCCTTACCTCTTCAAGAGCATCAGAAGCATCCATTTGTGTGGTGGCTGGGGGCTTCTCTTCTACATGTACCCAGGTCTTTTTCCTCCTCCTCATTTTCCCACTTCCTCCTCTCCTCCCTTCTTCCTTGGCCTTTTCCCTACTTCCATTCCTGGGCAGGACACTTGTTTACAAAAGCATGGACACGGCAGAGTCCCTGGCACTTCCTGGTGTTGCTCTCCCTGGGCTAGGCACCCCACTGGGTTCCTCAGGGTGAAGTGGTTCTGTTCAGTTAGTGAGTGGCCTATGGACACTTAAGAGTCAGCTTCAAACACATATGCTTGGTCCAGTGCCCAAGGCACTGTCACCAACTCAGTCTGATGCCTGTGGCTTTTGTGTATCACTTTGACTTTGTTTTGTCAACGCCAGGCGAAATTCTTTAGGGTTTTCTCAAGAATAAAGAGTCTAGAGGTAACAGGGGTGGCGGCACACACCTGTAATCCTAGGACTCTGGGAGGTTGAGATGAGAGGATTGAAAATTTGAACCCAGCCTGGGCAGTTTAGCAATTTAGTAAGATTCTGTCTTCAAATAAAAAAGGAGCCAGCTGTGGTGGTACATGCCGCTAATCTCAGCACTCTTGAGAGACTGAGATGGGAGATCCCAAATGGGAGCCCAGCCTGGGCAGTTTAGCAAAGCTGTCTCAAAATTAAATAAAAATAAAAAAATTTTAAAAAATAAATTTATATATGGCTTGAGGATTCAGCTCAGTGTAGAGGTCCTTGTTTCAATCCTCATTATGGGGGGGGGGAATTAAAAAGTTAAAATTGAGAAGGATATCCTGTAACTGAACTCAATCTCTGAGGACAGACCATTGTTCCGCTCCTCCTTCTGCTTCATTCTCTGCGGCCAGGTCTAAGACCTCAGTGCTGTCAGTGCAAAGGATGGGGTTTGGCTCCTGTTGCTCTTCTTAAGGCATAGGGTGATCCAAAACTTTATCCTTGTCATCACCTAGGAAGAGGAACATAGGGAAAGGCCCAAGACACTATCCTGGCTTAAGCCCCCAAGAGCTTGCCGCACCCTGCCCGCTTCCTGTACAGACTTACTGCATGTTTCTGGCTGGTAAAGGGTGGCCCAGCCCTTGGTTTCCTTCCCCGAGATTTGTTCTTAGGGCCTGGCTTTTTTCCTGGACCCCTGGGAGATGCTCAGCCCTGTGCATGTGTCTTGGCTATGCAGAGGTAGGGATTGCTTTGCTGCACTGTTTTCCTGTCTGCCCATGATGTCTTCTGAGTGACTACTGTCAAGAGCCAACCAGAAAGACCTTTCTGGATGGTCACCTGTGTCTTCACAGGTGCTGTTAGAGGCACCTCGTCCTTTGTCCCCACATTTGCTTCCACTTAGTCAGACCTTAGGGGGATGAGACTTAACAGATGGCTGGCATTTAGAGGACTGGGCATCCAAGAGGCTCTGCCCCTTGCTTCCTCCTGTTGAGGCAGAGAACAAAACACAGCCTAAGAAACCTGAGTGGATGGGCATTGAGGAGCTGCAGTGATCCCGTCATCCAAGGCCTCTTTCTATTTACTGGGGCCTGCACTATGCCCACCTTACACAGATCCTTGTCAGTTCCTGCCTAGTTCCAAATGGTGGAAATGCAGACCTGAAGTCCCACTGTGAGTCCAGGGCATGTGTTCACTACTCAGTAGTTGGAGGCAATAATGGCTACAGCCCTGGAAGTGGCCATGGTGCCAGCCCTGTGTTCCTGTGTGAAGGGGCAGGGACTCCCTGGGACCTTCCTTCTTGGTTCCCCCTTGAGCCTGGCGTCTGGCTGAGAGGAATGCTAGGAGAGGACTGTGCCATCCTGCTATGTTCCCACCTTCTTGTGAGTCACCTCAGTGCCTGGCAAGTGCACCTTACCTTGTGCTGGGGGCCCCTGGGCTGTGCTTGGCTGAAAGGCAACAATGCTGCAGGGCAGTAGGTTAGAGAGTTCTGGGGTGGGGACTTCCCAGCTCTGCTCTTACCCCTGCTGTCCAGGCCTGTCCTAGCTTAGTCCTGCCAACTGTGTGGGTATGTGAGGATTCTTTCCCTTGGGAGCCCTGTGTATTTGGAAGGCAGAGTCTTAGTGAGGTAGAAAAGGCTGTCTTCCCAGAATTATAACTGATGAGCACAATTTTAACCATTTCCAGACTATGGGAGGATGTGGGGGGTAGAGAGTGGGCCTGGTGGACTCAATATGTGTTGCCGTTGGGTTCCAGTCTTTGGCAACCCATCCCTGTCCTCAGTTCTGAGAGAAAACCATTCATAGAAGGGACACTGATTATGTTTTGGATGCACAGGAATTGATCACGACCTGTATAGTACCTACTGATTTGGTAAATTTCTTCTCAAGGCAACCAAAGAAAATCCAGTAAGTTACAGTTGGCCCTCAGTATTTGGGGGGAACTTGTTCCACAGATCTTCAGATCCTTTATATAAAATGACTTGGTATTGCACAGGTAGTAATACCTGTGCATGTCCTTCCATATATACTAAATCTTTTATGATCCCTAATCTAGTATAAATATCATACAAGTAGTTATACAGTATTATTAAGGAAAGAATCACAAGAAAACTGAGTAGAGCGCCTAGGTTCAATCCCCAGTGCTGATGACTAAAATAAACAAATAGGAAAAAAAAAAAAAAAAAAAAGATACTCTGTACATGTTCAGTACAGATGCACCTGTTACCACCACTACTAAGTTTTGGTCTGGTTGATCAAACCCGTGGATGTGGACCCCATGGATGCAAAGGGCCAACTGTATCTTTTGGGGGCAAAGAACTATGAAACTGGCTCCCTCACAATTTCTTTCCTAAGCCTTGAGCCCTTCTGAGCCTTGATGACCCAGTTAGGGTCGTGGCTTGCAGGGGGCAGGTACCCCATGGTGTGGTCTCGGAGTTGGTGGGATGACAGAATTGGGTCAAGTTCAGAGCTGAAGTGGCTGTCATTCCAGCAACATGAAGGGGCTTGAGGGTGCACTTGTATCTCAGCCTTACAAGGCTGAGAAAAGTGCCCAATGTGGGACTGGCAAGCAGGTTTACCTGTGGTTTGAGTCCTGGTTTGGGCCACCAAGAGGGGTGGTGCTTTGCTGGCCCCAGGCTGCTGGGGTTGTGATTTTTTGGATTGTCACTGACATGCTTTTGTTTTTGTTTTTTGTTTTTTGTTTTTTTCTTCTTCCTCTGGGCTCCTTCTCATTGTTTTCTTCTCCCCCCCGCTTCCCTTGCCCCGTCCTGTCCCATGTCTCCCCCTCCCTACCTTGTCTTGTCCTCTGCCCTCCTGCCTCCTCTTGCCCTCTTGCCTCTTCTTGGCTTCTCTTTGTGTGTTGTCTCAGCTGGAGGTTCTGCACTACCGACTCAGTGTCTCCAGCGCCCTCCACAGCCCTGCCCAACCCAGCCTCCAGGCCCTCCACGCCTACCAAGTACTGGCTGCTCTCTTTTCCTCCCCTTTCCCGCCCATAGTGGGAGCACAAAGTGCCTGTTAGCACAATGGCAGAGTGAGGGTCTGGTTGAGGCCTGCTGCAGGGTATTAAGAAGCTAGTTCTGACCAGAGTGTAGGTTCAGGGAAGGCAGGGGCCAACCTTTAGCCTGGCCCAAACCCTGACTTTATAACTAGCCTGGTATTGGGGTGTGTAGCCAGATTAGATTAAGACATATAGCCCTGGCTGGCCATACGGGTTACAGAATCTGCCTGGTCAAGTTCCAGCCAGGGGAGGAGTCTCCATTCATAGGTATTGCAGCTTTGCAGTGGCCATGGTGCTCAGAAAGTGACCAAGGATGAAGAGGCTAGGGATTTCAGGTGGTTTGGGTTCTGCCCTATTAAGAACCATCACCCTGCTTGGAGGCTGCAGCTACCTTAAGTCTACATGTACAGCAGAGTGTGGGTAAGGAGAACTCAGAGCTCAACGCTACAGCTGACAAGGCTATTGCCTAGCCAGGCCTGACCTTCTGTTGAACTCCAGCCACTTGTAGACTCTTGGTGGCAAGTGAGAGCAGGCAGTGACATCAGATTGAGCAGACTGTTGCCTGCTTAGGGAGAGCAACAGGTATGTGGATGGATTTGAGGGTTTAGATGGGTATTTTTTTTTTTTTTTTAGAGAGAGACATGTTCAGGGATGAGGGAGTTAGCAGATTTGCGAGGAAAGTTAGGAACATGGAGCTAAGATCATGGTCACAGCTCTATTTAATCCCAACTGTGACAGGAACATGTAACAGTTATGTTTGAATTTGAACCAAGGTAAGAACTTGTAAAAATTAAAAAAAAATTTTTTTTTAATTAAAATTTAAAAAAAGAGAGAGAACTTATAGTGTGGGATAGGATGGCAGCTTCAGCTCACAGTGGAATTCTGTTCAGAAGCAGCAGCTGCTCTGAGGAGGGAAGAGAGGCCCCCTGGGAGGACCAGGTGGTGTGCAAGCTCGGCTGAACCTGGATTCAAGGGCCTTTCAGGCTTATAGCAAGAGAATTGAGAGGCTGGGCTCAGTGGGAAGTACTGTAGGCTCTGGGGACATGTCCTTTTTAGTCAGTGCTAGAGATTGAATCCAGGGCTTTGTACATAGGAGGCAAGTACTGTGCCATCACCTATGGGCTGTCTCTTTTAAAAAGGGATCCAGGGGCTGGGGAGATAGGTCAGCAGTCTAAGTGCCTGCCTGGCAAGCGCAGGGACCCAGGTTTGATACCTGGTACCGCATACTGTGCAGGCCCCAGAACTCGGTGCACCGTGCTAGACCTGAAGCCTGGCGTGGTGGTGCATGCCTGCAATCCCAGCAGTGGGGAGGTTGAGACAGGAGGGTCACTGTGAGTCCAAGCTGCATAGCAAGACCCTGTGTCAAATAAACAAATAAATAAATGGATGATTAAAAAGTGATCCAGTTGTAGGGCCTAGGAGTGTGGCTCAGTAGCAAAGGCTTTGCTTAGCATGTTTGAGGCCCTTGCTTATTTCCCCAGCACTGGTGGAGGAGGCCAAATGCAACTGTGGCCCCAGATTCTATGTGGGTATTTGGCTTAGAAAGAGAGAATAGGGAAAGAAGTTTGGCTTAGCAAACCTAGCACAAAAGTAGCCTGACATGGGGCCATGTGATTGGCAGAAGTAGGGGCCAGATTGGGAACCAGCATCTGGCCCCTGAGAAAGTCTACAAAAAGATGGAGTATGCTAGGTACCCATCAGCAAAGTGGGCTGCCAGTTCCTCTGAGGGTGCTGTTGCTTTTCCTGACCCAAAGGGATGACATCATAGGCTAGGGTCCCTGGGCCACTGGCCAGGAATGAGGCTCTAGAAAAGGGCAAGAGTTGGTTGGGGGTGTGTGTGTGTGAACGTGAATGTGAAATCTAGCTTCTGGTCTTTAATAGTAGATTTAATGCTACTGGTATATGTCTTAGTTCATTTCTGTTGCTAGTAATACAGTATCACAGGCTGGAAAGGTATAAAGAGAACAGGTTATTTTGGTTTACAGCTCTGGTCCCAGGTCTGCAGTGGTGGTGAACCAATGGCACCCTGCGGCAGTTGGCTGTTGGATCATTGAAAGCTCTGTTACTGTTCTAGGGCTACATGAAGTGATTGTCTTCCTGCTCATAGTCCTGAAGTGGCATAGGACATCATCACAGCAGGAGGTAGTGAGCATGAGAGACCTAGCCAAACTGGCTTTCAGAGCTGACCCATTTTCCAGATGGCTCTCTAATGCATTAGTTGCATGATTGGATCAGTCCATTTTGAAGGCATAGCCCTGCGTTCTTGTTGACAGTCTTACGTGGCGCCACCTCTTAATAGCTTATAATAAACTTTAGCATGAGTTTTACAGGGGAGAAAGTATACCATTATATTTTATACTTTTTTCTTGAAAAACAACATGAATTTTACTGCACAGAGACTAAGATTATAAATAAGCAGAAGAAGGTAACCTTCCATCCATAGTTCCATCTTCAGATTAAGCCAGTTAGGGTGTTACCTGGATCTGTGGGAGCATTTTCATGACAAAACCCTGAGTGCACAATGCCTCAGGGCTGGGGCCAATGCCAGGCACAACACTGCAAGTTGTTTGAGACACACGGAGCTGAGGATGAGTGTGAAGTCCTGCCTTCAGGTGCTCTCCTCCCCCAGTCCACGTCCAGTGGAGCCCACTTCCCTTGGATACTAAGCAGCTGAGGGAGCCCCGCTGCTGGTAGAAAGGCTTTGCTCCCTCAGGCTTTGACCTCAAAGATCCTGTGTATGAGAAGTTAAGGTTGCGCTTCTCCAGAGGATTTTGGCTGACCACAGGTTCACTGGCAGGAGAAGACTCTTCCCTGAGTCCCTGTCTAGCTGTGACTAGGAGAGGAAGCAGGAGGGGAGTCAGGGTTGTGGCCAAAGAGCGAACTGGGGAGAAAGAAGAAGCTCCCATTCCTAAAAGGTGAGCCTTGAGAGCTTTCTGCACACACCCAGGAGGCAGTTGGGCAACCCTGGGGCCAGAGCTCTGGTTGGTTGCTCCTGTCCCTGGTCCTCTGGCTGGCCAGGAGGCAGGAACCTCTGAGGCCAGCATGGGCAGGAGTGTGTTGAAGCACACAGCTGTGTGTTTCAGCATTGGGTCTTTTGGTGCACCGGAGAGCACTTTGTAGTAAACCTTGGAGCTGGCCGTCCCTAGGGCAGGGTGGCCATGAGCTAGGCCATGTATTTCATTGCCATAAGTGACATGACACTCACCTGCTAAGTGCCAGGCACAGTGGGATCCCTGGGGGTGGCCCTACTCCTGGACATGGCCTCCTGTGGGGTGGCAGAGTGGCCAGCCAAGGGGCAGGATGTAGTCAGACTTCCCTGGGTCCTGACGGCCTCTTTCCCCTCCTTAGGAGTCATTCACACCCTCTGAGGAGCATGTGCTAGTGGTACGCTTGTTGCTGAAGCACCTGCATGCATTTGCCAACAGCCTAAAGCCTGAGCAGGTCTCGCCCTCTGCCCACTCTCATGCCACCAGCCCCTTGGAGGAGTTTAAACGGTAGGTGCAGGTTGGCAGGGCTCCTGCAGCTTCTGGGCTGCTCTTCATTCACACCACATTGCCCACTATGACCTTTTCCCAGGACATGGGTAGGACAAGGCAGTCCTTCCTGCTGAGAGCATGGAGGCCTCAGCTGGGCTGGACAGGTGGCAGATGCCTGATATGGCAGCCTGTTTCACCCCACTCAGCTCCAGAGCTGCAGGGGCTGCCCTACTGCTTCTGTTCCTAAAGCTTCCTCCTCATACCTGCCCTTTTCAGTGGCCAGAGACTGTGTTTTGTAACTGACTTGTCCCTTCCCAGTGTCAGGGCTGAAGAGGGAGGTTGTACTGATGGCAAACTGTCCTGTGCCACACACCCCTCGCCCGCCTACCCCTGCCTTCAGGGACCAGCAGATCAGGTGACTGGTGTGGGACTGAGGTGTGTGGAAGAATCATACTGGCCGAGCGACCTGTGTGCTGTATGTCCTTAGGATAATCCCTGACCTCTGAACCTTGGCTTCCTCCTCCGAAAAATGGGACTGAAAACAGATCTTAACTCCAAGGGAGTCCCCAGCATGCCTTGGTGGCAGCCAGTGACCCTTCTGCTTCCTGTAGGGCTGCTGTCCCAAGATTTGTCCAGCAGAAGCTCTACCTCTTCCTGCAGCACTGTTTTGGCCACTGGCCTTTGGACGCATCCTTCAGAGCTGTAAGTTCTGGCCCCTTTCACATTAGCCCTGTGTTCTGAGGGAAGGTAGTGACCGTTACCTTGAGGGGAGGAAAGGAGGTCTTGAAAGGCCATTGCTCTGCTGATTGGAGTTTCAAATGTGACCCTAAGGTACAGAAAAGCCCTTCCACACCCTGTCAGCAGGTGGCAGATGTCTTTTGGCCTCTTGCCACTGCCCCTGGCATGCTCATGAGACTGGTTCTTGAGGGACTGCCATGGTGGATAAATGACCCTGTGGTGTGCAAGTTCCTTCTGTGTCCTCTTGGGGTGATGTGGGAGAAGCTGATCCTCCTGGCATTCTTTTTTTCTTTCTTTCTTTTTTTTTTTTTTTTTTTAATGTATTTGGTAGAGGGTCTACAGGTTCTCACTACGTAGATTGGACTTGTAGTGATTCTCCTGTTTTCAGCCTCCCAAGCACTGGGATTACAGGCATGTGTGCCACCATGCCCAGTCTCAGTCTCCCTCTCAGAGTGCCCCGGGGGCAGGGCTGGCACAGCATGGTGAGGATGGAACCCCGGCCGCTGTGCTCTGCCTAAACAAGTGCTTTAGTCCGCTGAGCTATCAGGCTGGGCCCTTCCCCGTGGCATCTTTACTGAGGTCAATCAGAGGCCAGAATGTGGTGGTACCCTCTACCCTTCTGTGGTCCACAGCTAAGGCTATGGTCCTTCCTACCTCAGCTGGCCTTTGGGAGCCAAGCTGCATGGCACCCAAGAATGTGACTGAAAGCCTAGAGCCCGGCTCCACAGCCAGTAGGCCTTCAGGACACCTGTGTCCCTTATTAGGTTCTGGAAATGTGGCTGAGCTACCTGCAGCCGTGGAGGTACGCATCTGAGAAGCAGGTTCAGAGCAGTGACTCCCAGCCCCGGTGTGTGTCAGAGAAATGGTGAGGCCCTGGCCCTTCCTCCCCTCAATTCCATTGACCCCCATAAGTATGTGCTGCTTCAGTGGGTGGACAGCCAAGAGGCCTGTGCTTGGGTTGGCCTCATCTGCCTTTGGTGGTTTTCTGAGTTCTTTTCCCAAGCCCCATCTAGTGGGTACATAGGCCAGCCATTCCTAGGCTGAGCTTTGTTCCCAGAAGGAATTTTCCAAGGACACATAGGTGATCCTCTACCTATTTCTTTGCCCTTCTGGCTCAAATCAGTGTTCCAGGTTGCCACAAAAGCTACCTGTCATCCTTCTTCACCAGCACAGAGCAGCAGCACCCTAGTCACCTCCAACTTGTACCTCACTGCTGACCCCCAGGCCTCTACCAGCACATAAAAGTGCTCCTCTTCCAAACCAAAGCCTTCTCCTCTTCCCTCTACTGTTTCTTCCCTCTCTGCCCATCAGGCTTCAGGCCAACCTTTCAGTATGGCCTTGTGTCTCTTAGAAAGAACTTCATCCTCAAAGATCCATTGTCCTCAGAGGGCCTAGGTCCTTCCTCCTCTGCAGTACTCTCCTCCCTGGCCTTTACAGCTGCCATTCATGACACCTTCATAAGGTCTTGTCTAGGAGTCTGGAAGTCCCAGGAAGCCAAGAGCTTTAAGGGTTAGGACCATTGTGGCCCCAGCCTCCAGCAGGTGGTCTTGAGCTGCACCTTGGCCCCTAGGGCACCCTTTGTCCAGGAGAACCTGCTGGTGTACACCAAGCTCTTCGTGGGTTTTCTGAACCGCGCACTCCGCACAGACCTGGTCAGCCCCAAAAATGCACTCATGGTGTTCCGAGTGGCCAAAGTGTTTGCCCAGCCGAACCTGGCTGAAATGATCCAAAAAGGTAAGTCAACAGTCCTGTGCCAGCTGGGTTGGAGCCAGTGCTGTCTTTGGCAGGAAGCAGCACATAGACACCCAGGGAAGGCTGTGTGCCTTGTGGGCTTGCAGTAACTGCACAAGGTTGGTCTGAGGAAGTCTGTGAGCCTGGCTGAACCCCACCTTCCTTATGGCCAGATTCTAGGTGGGGGCCCTGTGTGCCTTACAGGAGGGGAGTAGAACCACCCACTGTGTATAGCTCTTTCAAAACTATTGCTCCTCTGGTGTCTTATGGGGTGGGTCAGGAGATGGACTTGATCTCCAGCATGCTATTGTCACTGTTGGCTTCCTTTTGGTGCGGGTGCCAGACTGGAGTCCTGCTTTCCAGGTGAGCAGCTATTCCTGGAGCCAGAACTCGTCATCCCCCATCGCCAGCACCGGCTCTTCACAGCTCCTACTGTCACTGGCAGTTTCTTGTCACCATGGCCACCAGCTGTTACTGATGCCTCATTTAAGGTGAAGAGCCATGTCTACAGCCTGGAGGGCCAGGACTGCAAGTACACCCCGATGTTTGGGCCTGAAGTCCGGACCCTAGTGAGTAATGGGAGGTACTGGCTGGCATGTGGTCCCTGTGGCTGTAAGAATCAGCAGAGCTGGAAGGCACCCAAGTTCTGGAAAAAAGGAAGGAGGTTGTGTTGATTAGACACACTGATTTCTCTCCCTCCTCTTTTTCCAGTAAAAACTTTTTTTTTTCCCTGATAAAGGCAGAGTTTGGAAAAATCTCATTTTTAAGAGGTCATCCATATGCCAGATGTGGTGGTGCATGCCTGAAATCCCAGCATTTGGAAGGCTAAGAAAGGGTCACCAAGGGGCCGGGGAGATGACTCAGGAGAATAAGCGCTTCCCTGGCAAGCACAAGGGCCTGAGTTCAATCCCCAGTTCCACAAAAAAAAAGAAAGGATCACCAGTTCCAGGCCTGTCTAGGCTATACAGTGGGACCATATCTCAAAAAATAAGAACAAAATAAAAAATTTATCCATAAGTCTGCCCCCAGGTCACCATGTCTGGAGGACAGCACAGCCTTGTCCTGTCCTTGTCCTGTGTGTGGCCAGGTGCTGGGATTTCCCCCCACCCAAGCCATATATCTCTGTGTCTCCCTCATAGGTGTTACGCCTTGCTCAGCTCATCACACAGGCCAAGCAGACTGCCAGGTCCATCTCTGACCAGTGTGTGGAGAGCCCCTCTGGCCGGTCCTTCCTGTCATGGTTGGGCTTCTCCCCCACGGACCCAAACAGCTGCTACCCAGCCAATGACCTGGACGAGATGGGCCAGGACAGTATTCGCAAGACAGATGAGTACCTAGAGAAGGCCCTGGAGTACCTACGCCAGATATTCCGAGTATGAAGCCCGGGGCTTGTCCTATGGCCAGTATGGTCCCCTCCATGAGGGATTTGCTCCTTACCCAGCCCATGGCCAGCCCCAGAGCTTACACAAGTCTCCAGCATGGTTTCTGCCCCCAGAGGCCCCCTCCTCACACTGGGGACCCATCCCATAGACGGGTTTGCATGTCTGGGTCATGTCTGGATCTCCTCATTGTCCTAGAGGCTGGTGGGATAAAGATCAGTTTTTTGTCCTTCACCCTGGAACTGAAAACAGAAGTGTTTCTCTCTGACAGCTTAGTGAAGCCCAGCTTGCCCAGTTCACACTTGCCCTAGGAACCATTCAGGATGAAAATGGGAAGAAGCAGCTCCCCGACTGCATCGTGGGGGAGGATGGACTCATCCTCACACCCCTGGGCCGCTACCAAGTAAGAGGCCTCTATCATCCTGTGACTTGTTTTCAATTTCATCTTGTCCTATTAAACAAAAAAGGCTTTTCTGGACTGTTGGCAAAGATGTATCCTCTGAACTGTCCTCATGGTCTGGGTTTCTAGATCATCAATGGGCTACGGAGGTTTGAAATTGAGTATCAAGGGGACTCAGAGCTGCAGCCCATTCGGAGCTATGAGAACGCCAGCCTGGTCCGAGCACTTTTCCGGCTGTCATCTGCCATCAATCGCAGAGTGAGTGGGGCAGTAGGGGCGGGCCTGGCCACTTGTAGAATGGTTTTAGAAGATACAGCAGCCCCACACCCACACCCTTTTCTTTCTTGTGAGTGTGGAAAGAGTCTAGATGGAGAGTGAGCCTGCGAGAGTTGCCCGAGCCCAGGAGTGGCCTGAGAGAAAGGATAATGTGTCGCCCTGTGGCCCGAAGCATTTGCTGTCACCATCCTATCTTGAGTTTTTGTGCTTCAGTTCGCAGGTCAGATGGTTGCTCTCTGTTCCCGGGATGACTTCCTTGGCAGCTTCTGTCGCTACCACCTCATTGAGCCTGCTCTGGCCAACAGGCACCTGCTGAGCCCTGTGGGGCGGAGACAGGCAGTCAACCAGGCCCGAGGCCCTAGGCTCAGCTTGCGCTTTCTGGGCAGCTACCGGACACTGCTCTCATTCTTGCTGGCCTTTGTCATGGGCTCTCTGTTGTGCATCAGGCCCCTGCCCTGCACTCTGCTGCTTGTCCTGGGCTACCTCCTCTATGCCATGGCCATGACACTGCTGACAGAACGAGGGAAACTTCACCAACCCTGATAGCCATTGTCTTCAAAGCAAGCTGCTGGGATTTGTTGCACTGTGCCTGGGGCCCTGGCAGGCTGCTTCCCAGTCAGAGTGCAGTCATTTGGATTTCTAAGTACTGTTTTTCTGCAACCATAGAATCATCCAGAAGACACTGAAATGAGAGGGGAGACTGCCAAGAAAGGGGCAGGGTCAAATGACTCTTGAGTCAAACTGACAACCAGAGCTGCCTGAAGCCATTCATTGTGTCAGCTCTATTTGCAGCTGAGCTAGTCTTGGAGACTTCTGCAACCATTTGAAGATTTTGCCATGTAAAACTCAGGCTCTTGTGTCCACAGCAGCTGCAGGCCTGGGCTCTTCACTGTGGTTGTTCTTGAAGTGGGCAGTGTAGGTTGTGACATCTTCCCTTGAGATTCCCAGCAGTTTAGCTTCCCTTCCAGGCAAGAATCAGTTTCTGAAAGAAATTCCTGAGAAAACCAGAGAATGGCTCTGCTGACTCATTTTGAAGTGAAGGTTTGCTATCACAGTGAAGGAACGATGGTTCTCTTACATTCTCCCAGTGAGCCCAAAGCTGGGCACTGGGGTGCCACTTTTGAATTCCATGGAGACCCTCCCAGAGCACAGCATCCTACTTTACCTCTGGCCCCCAGGCCTCTGCAGTCCTGCACCATGAGCAGGCACTGGTGGTCAGCAGGCAGAGGGCTGTAGTGGTTCTACAAGCTTCTGTCTGCAACCAAAGATGGGCAAAAGCAATGTTTGCTCCTCCATAAACAAGTACTGAGAGACAGTGACACTTTTGGACAACCTGGTGTATGACAGCTATACCTTGATTTTTAAAAATAAATCACCGTCACCCTGGTTCATCCTGCAGTGTACCATCACAACAGTGTCTTGGGGATTTTAAACTAAGCCTTTGTTTTCAGTGTATGGGGGATTTTTTCTTTTTAAAAAAAAAGGTTGGGGGGGGGCTGGTGAGATGGCTCAGTGGTCTAAAGCACCTACTTAGAACAAGCTTAGCAAAGCATAGGGACCGCAGTTCAATCCCCCAGCACCACATGCCAGCCAGCCCCGGCCCCTGGTGGGCTGAGCTGGCCACACACACACACACAAATAAAATTTAAAAAAAAATTAAATTAAAAAAAAAAAAAAAGCAGCATGGGATATAGCTCAGCAGCACAGCAACTCCCTGGGAGGCACAAACAAGGTCCTGAGTTTAATTTCTGACCAAAGGGGAAAAATGTTTTTAGATTGTAAATGTTGGGCCTTGTGATATAATCTCAGGATACATTTTGGATCCCATAACCAAAAATCAAACTGAAAACTGTAACTTAACCATGAATCTGAATAAATCAATTCTTGAGTCTCGGTACATGGCTCAGTACCCAGCAGGTTCACTGCACAGGGTACCTGGGCACTCAGAAATCTGGGAAACAGCTGCTGGGTGTCTTGTCCCCCACCCCTTCCCCCCAGGGGCTACAAGCCTGTTCGCTAGCACTTTGTGGCCCAAAGGCTTTCAATGCCTGGCCCAACTCAGATAAACAGTGGGCCAGGGCAGAGGTCGGTCAGTGGGACCACTTCCAATCTTGGTGGGTCTCCCAGTGCCCAGCACGTCTGCAGCTGCCACCTCACAGCTGCCTATAGTTTGTGTTGGTTCCTGAGGAGAGCAGTAGATCCTCAGGGAGGCAGGCACCTGCCGGCCCAGCCAGGGCCCCTTCCCACTGTTTCTCCTGGCCTCTGTTGGATCCTGTCAATGTGTGTGCCTGTAGTTCAGAGCCAGCCAAGGATTGGAGGGACATTCATAGCTTTGGGCTCCTCATCCTCTAGTTTCAAAGTAATAAGCATTCCTCCTCAGTCCCTTTCCTTTTCAGGTGCAGTGACCCACCCAAACTCCATCCTCTGCCTTATTGAGGCATGAAACCTGTGGCTTTCTAGTTAAGTCTGGCTGACGAGAGCCCATAGGGCAAAAGTAGCTCTTCTAGTAGCTACCTCCAGTCAGGTGTGGTGACACATTCCCCCTATTTGAGGTTGCGTAAATTGAAATCTAGCTTGGACAACATAAGACCCTGTCTTAGATTTTTTTGGGGTTTTTTTGTTTGTTTTTGTTTTTTGTACCAAGGATTGAACTCAGGACCTTAACACTTGCCACACAGGTGCTTATGCCACTGAGCTATCTCCCTGGCCCGACCTGGCTCTTTTTAAAAGGGCTGGATATACAGCTCCATGATACAGTGTTTGCCTAGTGTTCATGAGGCCCTGAGTTCAATCCCACTACTAAGAACTTTCCTTACTATGCCTTCACCCCATGTCCCATTCCCCAATACTGGGGAATGAACCTAGCATGTTTTTACAGGCATACTATTCTCCCTAGCTCTTTAAAATTTTGATACAGGCTCTTGCTAAATTGCCCAGGCTGGGCTCCAATTATCCTTGTGCCTCACCCTCCCAAGTAGCTGGATTACAGGCCTCTATTACTGAGCGTGTCTGAAAGTTGATTTTTGAACTTGTACCTATCTCCTTCAAAAAATGAGATACTTGGGCTGGAGAGATGGCTCAGTGGTCTAAAGCACCTACTTAGAACAAGCTTGGCAAGGCATCAGGGACCGCGGTTCAATCCCCCAGCACCAC